TCTTGACTGTTTTCATGCGTCAGGTAGGGTGAGTATTGGTAAAGTGGGACACTTTCTGAAAATGTGGAATATCCCATTGTCTTAACCCCCAACATGATACCATTCTAAATAGCTTAGGAATGATGGATGACTCTTCTTCAAACATAAATTGTCCTGAGACCAAATTATTTCAGTCAATACTTGCAAATAGGGACACCTTGATTGGCGAAGTGGGACACTTCATTCTTTATTGTAAAGAAGGATAAATTAGAGAGTATATGAGTAATTTCAATATTTTTATGGTAAACTTAAATTATTCATACAAATGAAATTCTTTAGGTATTTTTTTGGAACATTAAAGTGTCAATATGTAACTTTTTTGGGGACCTGACCAAATTCACATAGAACTGTTAGTTATAGATCTATCATTCTACTTGAAAGCAAGTCTAAGAAGCGGTTCTATGTGCGCTATTTCTATGCTTCCCATTCTTAAGTTTTGTTTTTGCATCTTTTACTTTTAATTTTGTACACCAGCTTCAAACAGCTGAAACAGCAATATTTTTGGTTATGGAAGATATATTTCACAGCGGTTTAGATGGTACAATGATTCACAGATTTTCATTTCCTTAAAACCATTCAAACTGAGGTCATTTGGAAATGTTGCACTGAAAATCTCCCTGGTCCTTAAATGTCCTCAGTCTGGGAGAGAAGCAGAAATGAAAGAGAAAACCTTACTACACTGAAAAAAATATAAACTCAACATGTGAAGTGTTGGTCCCATGTTTCATGAGCTGAAATAAAAAATCTCTGAAATTTTCCATATGCACAAAAAGCTTATTTCTCTCAAATGTTGTGCACAAATTTCTTTACATCCCTGTTAGTGAGAATTTCTCCTTTGCCAAGATAATCCATCCACCTGACAGGTGTGGCATATCAAGAAGCTGATTAAACATCATGATCGTCACACAGGTGCACCTTGCTGGGGACAATAAAAGGCCACTTTAAAATGTGCAGTTTTGTCACACGTCACAATGCCACAGATGTCTCAAGTTTTGAGGGAGCATGCAATTGGCATGCTGACTGAAGGAATGTCCACCAGAGCTGTTGCCAGATATTTAATGTTCATTTCTCTACCATGAACTGCCTTCAACTTCGTTTTAGAGAATTTGGCAGTACGTCCAACCGGCCTCACAACCACAGACCACGTGTAACCACGCCAGCCCAGGACCTCCACATCCGGGTTCTTCAACTGTGGGATCGTCTGAGGGGGAGTGGGGGTCTGTAATAAAGCCCTTTAGTGGGGAAAAGCTCATTCTGATTGGCTGGGCTTGGCTCCCCAGTGGGTGGGCCTGGCTGCACCCCTGCCCAGTCATGTGAAATCCATAGATTAGGGCCTAATGAATTTATTTCAATTGACTGATTTCCTTATATGAACTGTAACTAAGTCAAATGTTGTGTTAAAATTTTGGTTCAGTATAGATTGGTGATGATTCATTAATTTTATTGATTTATTACATTATTCTGGTGAGCAAGGATTGATTTAGTATTCTAGAGCATCAAGTAATGACAGAAGAGAAGCTGCATGTAGCCTATCCAATTATAGACAAGTAAGAAGAAAATATCTAAATGAATCTTAATAACAAAAAAATGTGCACCCCCTCAAAAAAACGTTCCACCGTCCCTGTCCAGGTTACAAGTGTCATCACACTTTCTGGTGTTTTTCTAGCAGATGTATTTTTCCATTCATCAAATAGCTGGTGTGCTTTTGGATCCTATAATTATTTTAGAGTGGATGAACTTGTGCAGTTATGGAGCTTTTAAAGTGATTTGTTTTACAATCAGATGGAAATGTTATGGCTAGTTCTGCTTACCAGTATGCCACATATGAAAAGGTAACACATTTTTTGAAGTGAAATACATACCTGTACTAATTAGGCCCATCAAAATGTTTTGTGGATGCGCAAGCCCATGCACAGATAGGAGGTCCCATACCAGCAAGAAATTAATAATTGCCATCTTCAACCTAGACTACAATATGCCACCTTTGTTTTTGTTTTTGTTTTTTATTTTTTATTTAACCTTTATTTATACAGGTTTTTCTCATTGGGATAAAATCAAATTTTCAAGAGAGACCTGGTCCAACAGAAGCAGGGGAAACAAAGTTTCAGACAAAACAACTTACACACACTAACACAACATTGAACAAAACTATAGATCACATTTTATTCGTCACATGCACCAAATACAACAGGTGTAGACCTTACAGTGAAATGCTTACTTACAAGCCCTTAACCAACAATGCAGTTTTAAGAAAAATAAGTGTTAAGTAAAAAAAAATAATGAAAGAGCAGCAGTAAAATAACAGTAGCGAGGCTATATACAGGGGGTACCGGTACAGAGTCAATGTGTAAAGAAACACAAATGTCTTAACTAAAAAACAGCTGTCCTAAAGACAATTACACTCTTCTATGATATTTACATCGACCAAGTGTTTAAACTCCACCAACGTGACTAGATCATCAAATTTTAAATTGTTCAGGAGAGAATTCCAGGAGGACGGAGCTGAGTAACTAAAACTATTTCTACCATGACATGTTCTAATTCTTGGTACTGTTAAAAGCAAATGAGAATGGGACCGTAATTGATATTTATTTACTGACCTGATTCAAAAATAACAGAGATAAAGTGGCATTTTACCCAATATGGCCTTATAAATCAGTGTATACCAGTGTTTAAGCATATGCAAGGTCAATGACTACCAGCCAACGGTGCTGTAAAGATACAGGAGATAGCCCTATTTGGTAAAAGACCAAGTCCATATTATGGCAAGAACAGCTCAAATAAGCAAAGAGAAACGACAGTCCATCATTACTTTAAGACATGAAGGTCAGTCAATATGGAACATTTCAAGAACTTTGAAAGTTTATTCAAGTGCAGTCGCAAAAACAATCACGCGCTATGATGAAACTGGCTCTCATGAGGACTGCCACAGGAATGGAAGAGGATAAGTTCATTAGAGTTACCAGCCTCAGAAATTGCAGCCCAAATAAATGCTTCACAGAGTTGAAGTAACAGACACATCTCAACATCAACTGTTCAGAGGGGACTGTGTGAATCAGGTCTTCATGGTTGAATTGATGCAAAGAAACACTACTAAAGGACACCAATAATAAGAAGAGACCTGCTTGAGCCAAGAAACACAAGCAATGGACATTAGACCGGTGGAAATTTGTCCTTTGGTCTGGAGTCCAAATTTGAGATTTTTGGTTTCAACCGCTGTGTCTTTGTGAGACGCGGTGTGGGTGAACGGATGATCCCTGCATGTGTATTTACCACCATAAAGCATGGAGGAGGAGGTGTTATGGTGTGGGGGTGCTTTGCTGGTGACACTGTCTGTGATTTATTTAGAATTCAATGCACACTTAACCAGCATGGCTACCACAGCATTCTGCAGCGATACGCCATCCCATCTGGTTTGGGCTTAGTGGGACTATCATTTGTTTTTCGACAGGACAATGACCCAACACACCTCCAGGCTGTGGAAGGGCTATTTGACCAAGAAGGAGAGTGATGGAGTGCTGCGTCAGATGACCTTGCCTCCACAATCCCCCGACCTCAACCCAATTGAGATGGTTTGGGATGAGTCGGACCGCAGAGTGAAGGAAAAGCAGCCAACAAGTGCTCAGCATATGTGGGAACGCCTTCATGACTGTTGGAAAAGCATTCCAGGTGAAGCTGGTTGAGAGAATGCCAAGAGTGTGCAAAGCTGTCATCAAGGCAAAGGCTGGCTACTTTGAAGAATCGAAATTATATTTTGATTTGTTTAAAAATGTTTTGGTTACTACAAGATTCCATATGTGTTGTTTCATAGTTTTGATGTCTTCACTATTATTCTACAATGTAGAAAATAGTAAAAAATAAAGAAAAACCCTTGAATGAGTAGGTGTGTCCAAACTTTTGACTGGTACTGTATGTCTTTCAGTATGAAACAACAATGGACTCTGATAACTCAGGGTCTATCCAGCCAGTTGCCTATGGCGATATAGTGAGTTTCTCAACCAAGCCTGATCCCTGCATGTGTATTTCCCACCATAAAGCATGGAGGAGGAGGTGTTATGGTGTGGGGGTGCATTGCTGGTGACACTGTCAATAATTTATTTAGAATTCAAGGCACACTTAACCAGCATGGCTACCACAGCATTATGCAGCGATACGCTGTCCCGTCTGGTTTGCACTTAGTGGGACTATAATTTGTTTTTCAACAGGAGAATGACCCAAAACACACCTCCAGGCTGTGTTAGGGTTATTTGACCAAGGAGAGTGCTGCATCAGATGACCTGGCCTCCACAATCACCCAACCTCAACCAATTGAGATGGTTTGGGATGAGTTGGACCGCAGAGTGAAGGAAAAGCAGCCAACAGGTGCTCAGCATATGTGGGAGCTCCTTCAAGACTGTTGGAAAAGCATTCCTCATGAAGCTGGTTGAGAGAATGCCAAGAGTGTGCAAAGCTGCCATCAAGGCAAAAGGTGGCTACTTTGAAGAATCTCAAATATATAATATATTTTGATTTGTTTAAAACTTTTTGGGTTACTGCATAATTCCATATCTGTTATTTCATAGTTTATGTCTTCACTATTATTCTACAATGTAGAAAATAGTAAAAATAAAGAAAAACCCTTGAATGAGTAGGTGTGTCCAAACTTTTGACTGGTACATATGTATATATACAGTATTTCATGATGTAATGCACATGACATTTCTATGAAATGTGTTGTGAAATGGATTGTTATAGAAATAAAGTTCGATTCGATTCAAACGATTGTCTTACCTGCTTTTGTGTCTGTTTTCAGGTCCCGGCTAAGGTTCTCCAGTAAAATCACCCCAGTCCTAAATGTCTCTGACAGTAAGTGCTGTGCTGTGGTCTCTCGACTACAGTGATGTCTGTCACATGAAATTCTGTTATCAGTATTTTTACTCCTTAAACCCATGAACGTTTATGTCATCCTTCTCTTTTTGCAGGGGTTTAACGGCCTGTCGATAGCTGGCCTAGAGGCCTTCATCAAGGAGCAGGAACTAATGGTGATGTTTGATGCAGAGACTGAGAGGGAAGGGCCAGGCCTCAGAGGCGAAGTGGGAAGCTGTGGATGCCCACGGAATAATCTACCAGGTGCATCCATTCAAGATTCTGGTAAGGACTGCGCAAGGAATGTGGATTTTTTAGTAGTGGTGGATGTGTAAATTTACACGATGACACAATATTGTTCAATGGCCCATTAGTTCAATACAGGAACTAAGTTCTTACATCAACCTTGGCTTGTGATAGAGTGGATGTTTGCGTCATGACCGCTTCCTGTTCTTCCCAGCAGTGTGTGTGTGCGTGTGTGTGTCTTACTGTGTGGACAGACAGACGGACAGAGTGTTGTGACTGAAATCTGGGAAGCACAATTCCGCCCCCATCTTCCTCTCCAGACATAGCTTGAATGGTTCATTTATTGTGAAATGCAGTTTTTTTTATATACTTTTTCCTACAAAAAGGATTTGCTACTTTTCTTACTTGGTTTAAGTTCAGTTTCTGGCCCAGTCTATGAATGTGCAGTGTTTTCGAATGTGGACAGCACAGAAGGTTAAGGTCCTCTAACTGGTAAGATCTTGCCTGTTCCTTCCATCTCCACACATGGAAGAGCAGCAGTCTATTGTATGTCTCCAATCCAGTGAATGGCCTTAGAAAAAAAGGGGGATCTCATTGACTTCATATGGAAACTATCTCCCACGACTTGACATTGGAATGAGCATGTCCCTTTTAATTGAATCCAAATTGCTGGGGCTTCCATGTTTAAAGTCTGCTCATTGTCTTGTCTGAAAGGAGACGTGTTTCAGATGTGGGCCAGACTTTCATGGTGAGCCGTCTGGCTCCCTCTCACTGACCAGACAGGTCTGAAACATCCCTTTCCAGATCTCTCCTGAACATTTCAAGGGTGAAAAGTTAACAACCTGAATGCTGTGACCAGCATACTCCTGCAGTACTATAATGTCACCACTAGAGAGAAGTCTTGGCAAACATTTGTTGGGGATATTTTAATGAGAAATTCATTTTTTGTCTATGCTGTGAAATCTGTCCAGTGTCAATGTTTGACATTGTGTGGATCATAGGTTTTTCCTTTTTAACAGATTCCCTCTGACAAATTTTGCCAATAATGTTGAAGACATACAGTAGATATCCAACACTTACATGAGGCTTTAGTGTTCTGAGATTGTCATATTTCATAGCCAGAATGCTATTTAGTATTTTTGGTTGAAAACTGAGATGCAGTTGCTCTCTCTAAATAATTGTATTTTGGACCACTGCTAATGCATTGTAAATAGTGATACATAAACTTGGCTTCAAACCTATGGTGTTTAATGTGCTTGTTTCAAGAATGTGTGCTACTTTGTAAAATGCGCGTGTGTGCGTGCATGTGTGTCATTTACGTGTGTGTGTGTGTCATTTACGTGTGTGTGTGTGTTTTGTGGTACTATCCACAGTGGTGGAGATGGCCCTGGCTAATGTGGCCCTAGACATCATGTGTCTGCTGATGAAGGACCAGTGGAGCTGGCTGTGCACCGACAACATCCGGAAGACTATCTGGCTGCTGTTTGGAGCCCTCATCGACAGGGACTGTACTAATGCATGGACCATAGAAATATAATTATTACTCTACTCCATTCTATTTCTATGGCATGGACAGCCATAGAATACATCTGTCACCACTTACCAGTCAGCAACCCTCCCATATCTAGTACTGTATATCAGAACATATGGATATTAAGAACCTATCATTTTGAAATGTGACCTTTTCAGAAGATTTAATTTAGACTCTTATTAGAATTAAGCAATTAGGAAAAGAGTAATGTGGATACAGAATTGCTACAGTATTATTTTGTCAAACAAGGAAGGTCTCTTACATTTCTCAAGGAGTTCATAAAAGGGGCCAACGTGGTTGTTGTGGTTTCTTCTGAATAACTGGAAACGGTTCCTCTATTGTGCAAGAGCACAATCTCTTACCTTGTAAAGGAGATGTACCTGAGCGATGTTGTGTACATGGCTGTAAGGAATGTCTGGTCAGTAGTTGGTACCAGAGCATTTGAGCGGTCGGAAATCCCGCTCATCGCTCACTGAGCAGAGCTTGCACACCGCTTCGGTGCGCCATGTCCTTTCCAACCACTCCGCTAAAAACTGCTCCTCGCTCACAGGAAAAAAAACTGCCACTCCAAATTCGCTCCATTCATTAAAATCACAATTTAACCAACACCCATCTATTTATGTGACTACCTGGACCTATCATTTGGTTTTGAAGTATTGAAACCAAACCACATGATTTGAATGAACAACATGAAAATGTGACAGTAAAAAGCGCTACATGTTGTATTAAACAACATATAAACACTCTAGTAGGTCAGGAGCCAGACATGTAGCCTATTTATTTAGACTATTATTATTATTAGCTTATTATTTCAATTATTTCATGGCTATAGCCTACAAATAAATAAATGGTGAAGCATTTGCAAGTGTGACACTAGGCTGGCATGAACATTAAGCGCTCAGCATTTAAACAACATTTTGTTGTATTAGTCTATAAATTGCGCATATATGCTGTGACTTACTTACAATTAAATAAAAATTTAATTAAAAATGCCTTATTAGGACTTTGAATTCACTATTAGAAACACAAGTTTTGCCAGAGTCTTTGGCTGATGTGATGGTGCCTAAAGAGCAGGCCAGCAGCGGAGAATACCCTCTCTGGAGAATACCCTCTCTGGAGAATACCCTCTCTGGAGAATACCCTCTCTGGAGAATACCCTCTCTGCACTTGCATATAGCCACTAGGGATGCTAAACACCCTTCGGGCCACTCTTGACAGGCTGGGCAGAGATGCAGAGTTTTTCTTAATTACATTTTTTACAGGTGGGCCTAAAGGTTTTTAGGCAAAATAACCCCATCCTTGAAAGAGGTAATATGTCAGGATACGTGTCTTTTCAGTTGTGGACATGATCACCGCACTCCCTCTCTTGCTCTTGGTCCTCATCTTTGTAAGTCACATTGATTTTGCACCTGTGTGTTTTATCAGTTTCTTTATGAAAATATTTAGTGAACTCCATGACAGTAGCTAAAGCAAGGGGCTATAGCAGCACACAAGTAGACTACAAATGCATGCTGGGCCGGCATTCCCTGAGCTTGTGAAGTGAGTGCTACTAGAGCGAAATTGGAGCGGGCGAGAAGTCTGACGCTCCAGCCTTTGGGAAACTCGCTCCGCGCTCCAGTCAAATTGGGCATGCTCCACTCCAGCTCCGCTCCGCTTACATTCTCTGGTTGGTGCACATATGGGACAAGTATGTTGGCTCTTTTGAGGTTAATCGTTATTTTGGCGGTCAGGTAGCCTGTTACTGTGCATGCCTCGATGTGTGTCACAGTCATTTATTTGACAGAGTAGTCTCAAGCAGGGGGAGATTTTTCTCAAATTCTCCAATGACCTTTCGCCTCTCCCCACTGTCTGAGTCCGACATGCTCTCACTCAGGGCTCTCTCTCTCTCTCTCTCTCTCTCACATACACACACACACACACACACACACACACACACACACAGAATATGTTTTACTGTCCTTGTGGGGACCTAACGTTTATTTCCATTCAAAATCCTATTTTCCCTAACCTGAACCCCTAACCCTAAACCTAACCCTAATTCTAACCTTAACCCTTATTGTAACTCTAAACCTAACCCCTAAGCTTAAAATAGCCTTTGTCCTCGTGGGGATGTGTTGGAAATGTCCCCATGAGGCAGAATTGTCTTTGTTTTACTATCCTTGTGGGGACTTTGGGTGATTTCCGGTACCCACGAGGATAGTAATACACACACACACACACACACACAGAGAGGTGGGAACACGCAGTTATAAACATGTCTGTCATGGTCCCTTCAAATGGCTTCACATTTTTCACGTATTTTAAAGGAATGTCTTTCCTTTTTGCTCCGAGTCAGATGTTTTCTTCACATTTCGCAGAATCCCGTTATTTATTTCACATTGCAAGTTTACAGTGATTTGGAAGAAAAGTTTGAAACAGTATGTTCTTCTCTGCTATGATCAATAGGGCTACCAAGGTATCCTAAAACTTGTTAGACCTAATGATAGTATCTTGATAATGCATTTTATCTGTATTGACATTTATTCCTGGAGTCCTTGGGTATTAGAAGCAGTTTTGAGAACTCTGCCTGTATTCACAAAGCGTCTCAGAGTAGGAGAGCTGGTCTAGGATCAGGTCCGACCTGCCTATATACAGTGAGGGAAAAAAGTATTTGATCCCCTGCTGATTTTGTACGTTTGCCCACTGACAAAGAAATTATCAGTCTATAATTTTAATGGTAGGTTTATTTGAACAGTGAGAGACAGAATAACAACAAAAAAACGCATGTCAAAAATGTTATAAATTGATTTGCATTTTAATGAAGGAAATAAGTATTTGACCCCTCTGCAAAACATGACTTAGTACTTGGTGGCAAAACCCTTGTTGGCAATCACAGAGGTCAGACGTTTCTTGTAGTTGGCCCCCAGGTTTGCACACATCTCAGGAGGGATTTTGTCCCACTCCTCTTTGCAGATCTTCTCCAAGTCATTAAGGTTTCGAGGCTGAAATTTGGCAACTCGAACCTTCAGCTCCCTCCACAGATTTTCTATGGGATTAAGGTCTGGAGACTGGCTAGGCCACTCCAGGACCTTAATGTGCTTCTTCTTGAGCCACTCCTCTGTTGCCTTGGCCATGTGTTTTGGGTCATTGTCATGCTGGAATACCAATCCACGACCCATTTTCAATGCCCTGGCTGAGGGAAGGAGGTTCTCACCCAAGATTTGATGGTACATGGCGCCGTCCATCTTCCCTTTGATGCGGTGAAGTTGTCCTGTCCCCTTAGCAGAAAATCCCCCCCCCAAAGCATAATGTTTCCACCTCCATGTTTGATGGTGGGGATGGTGTTCTTGGGGTCATAGGCAGCATTCCTCCTCCTCCAAACACAGCGAGTTGAGTTGATGCCAAAGAGCTTGATTTTGGTCTCATCTGACCACAACACTTTCACCCAGTTCTCCTCTGAATCATTCAGATGTTCATTGGCAAACTTCAGACGGGCCTGTATATGTGATTTCTTGAGCAGGGGGACCTTGCGGGCGCTGCAGGATTTCAGTCCTTTACGGCGTAGTGTGTTACCAATTGTTTTCTTGGTGACTATGGTCCCAGCTGCCTTGAGATCATTGACAAGATCCTCCCGTGTAGTTCTGGGCTGATTCCTCACCGTTCTCATGGAGATTGACAGTTCTTTTGTGTTTCTTCCATTTGCGAATAATCACACCAACTGTTGTCACCTTCTCACCAAGCTGCTTGGCGATGGTCTTGTAGCCCATTCCAGCCTTGTGTAGGTCTACAATCTTGTCCCTGACATCCTTGGAGAGCTCTTTGGTCTTGGCCATGGTGTAGAGTTTGGAATCTGATTGATTGATTGCTTCTGTGGACAGGTGTCTTTTATACAGGTAACAAGCTGAGATTAGGAGCACTCCCTTTAAGAGTGTGCTCCTAATCTCAGCTCGTTACCTGTATAAAAGACACCTGGGAGCCAGAAATCTTTCTGATTGAGAGGGGGTCAAATACTTATTTCCCTCATTAAAATTAAAATCAATTTATAACTTTTTTGACATGCGTTTTTCTGGATTTTGTTGTTGTTATTCTATCTCTCACTGTTCAAATAAACCTACCATTAAAATTATAGACTGATCATTTCTTTGTCAGTGGGCAAACGTACAAAATAAGCAGGGGATCAAATACTTTTTTCCCTCAGTGCATTCGGAAAGTATTCAGACGCCTTGACTTTTTCCACATTTTGTTACGTTACAGCCTTATTCTAAAATTGATAAAATAG